GGTGCATATTTTACCTAAATCGGATCATTGTAACTATGTTAAATAAAGCCTCCAATTTGATACAAAAATAATGGATTACTTTTTACTAGACCTTATATATCCCCTGTTACGTCCACGATAGATAACTATATAGGGAAATTTGAAAGTAGTAAAATCAGTGACTTACGTGGGCGGTCAACAGAGTAATGACTCCGCTTTTCACTCTGCTTTTCACCGAGTTTACCTTGGGTCTCCGGAGTCTGGCGAAACGATCGATGAATCTGGTGAGAAATCAGAGCCGCTCGTTCTCCTGGCTCGGTCTCGGATGTTCCGGCGCTACGCGGGATGATGCGGTCCGCGATTCCAATTTTGATTTCGCAACGTTCGAGAAATGAGGGGTAGACAAAAATAATTGCTACACAGTCGATTTTTACCACTAATATATTCCAAAATATATAAGTACACAAGTACCAAAAGCTAATTACGAGAAAAGAATCGCCTTTTCAACGAATGCGCGCGTTTTTGTACGTTGCTTTGTCGCTGAGAGTCGTTTTCTGGTTGGCTGATGGAGTCGTGGAGATGGAAGAAATTCATTCCATCGGTATGATGTCACCGTGTCGATATCGCCGTGTTGGTCCTGAGTGGTGTTTGGATTTAGGTTTCATGCTCCTGTTTATGTTAGCAACGAGATGCCTTATCGCATTGAGAGATTACAGTTTCTCTTGTCTATAGTTGATCCATCGATTTTAAGACTCTCTAACGACACGTTGTCGGCGTTATAATTTTAATTATAATATTTAACGTGCGGGAATATACATATGCGCACGTACTTACATCTAGTAACATAGGGATAAAATATCTATACCTGGTGAATACTTAACCTAGTAATATCTGAAATCAGACAAGTCGGCCTCCGCTCTATACTAATATATTATTAATGTTTCAAAATAAGTCCGGACGTTACAATATTATATCACAGTCCATACTAGATCCATTGACATATTCGGCGACTATTGGCTTATATTGTGAAAATATCAAGAAAATAGAATGCAGTCTAAATTCCAATCTATACTTCTATCGTAGCGTGTAAAATGTTGATTGGTTGAGCTTCATGTTCCAATCTGATACCCAAACTCATCTTTTAATTTCAATTCATATAGCTTCTGCCCATAGGATACGATAACACTTGTCGCGCGGCAAGAAGCGACGCGGTAGCCAATCAACATGCCGTTTTTCCACAAGAACTAAAAGTTTATTGGCTGCCGCGTCGCTTCTTGTCGTGCGGCAAGCATTTCTGCGCCCTATGGGTAGAAAACAATAGTGTGATAATGATTTACGATCCTAAGCCAGTCCTGCTGTGACTTCATTGTTTGATTTTCAATCCGCAGTCCCAGTCCCTAATTCATAGTCTGTTACGGACTTTATAGATATTCAGATTAACTTAATCCTGATTATTCTATTAGAATTGAGCAATCACATTTGTCGTTAAGCAAAACTGACCAGAAATAACCAATCATGGCTGACACTTAACCATTCGGTTAAGTTAATTAGAGATTGTGAGACCAGACCTAAGACCGGACCTATCACGAATCAAAGTCCAACATTGTAACCTCTGCAAGTCGCAGTTCAGTAGGAAGTTGTATCTCGGTGTTGGAGTCCTACACAAACCTAATTCAACGTGATTAAAAACGAAAAACGCTCAATATCATCATATTTAGTTCAAAATGTTCCCTTTACTGAAGAATTGTTTGGTGGCAAAGCATGGAATTAATTACGGTAAAAAGAAAGCGACCTTTTATTTTACGATTTATTAAATACTATATATAGCAAATGTGGGTCGAACTAGAGTACGGTACAAAGTCCTTCAGGGTATTACGAACTTTCTAAATTTTGTTTTTAATATGTTAACTATTATTCCATGTAAGTAGCAGATTATCAAACTATTCATATTAACTTTAAGTGTGGTAGGATTTTTTTAACATTATATTTTGTTGTATTTATATTATATTCTGTTTTATCATATTGCTGTGTATAATTATATGTAATCAAAACATATATGTTTATATAATATATCACTCATATACACTATTACATATTTATGATATTTATAATAAATTTTGATAAATTTGACAGATAAAATTAATATATGCTTGAAATATATTGGACATGGCTCTGCATATTTTTATTATATTATCTCCAATTATATTTTATTTATTTATGAATTTTTATTGAGCAGAAATCCTTGTTCGTTGTTCTGGACTATCTGCAAGCAAGGCCTATTCTACAAAAAGTAACAATGGCTCCAAAAATATTGTATTTGTTGATGGAGTACGGACACCATTTTTATTATCTGGAACTCAATACAAGAATCTCCTAGCATATGATCTTGCAAGGCACTCATTAGTGTAAGTTGCAATAAATAGTATTTGATTTCATTAATTATCAATAAGGTGATGGTTATGAGAATGATAAGGTTTGATAAAAGTTTCACTGATATATATTTTATATTCCTTTTTGCTGCAATTTTTTCAAAAAAATCGTAAAAATAGTTATCTGCTACTTTAGGTGCCTGCAAAAGAAAATTGACTTTCCCAAGGAGATAGTTGATTATATCGTATATGGTACAGTAATGCAAGAAGTGCGAACTTCTAATATTGGAAGAGAAGCTGCTCTTGCCGCTGGATATAGTGAACATACTCCTGCACATACAGTAACAATGGCATGCATTAGCAGTAATCAAGCTATCACTACTGGTATGGGTTTGATTGCTTGTGGTGTTTATGATGCTGTTGTGGCAGGAGGAGTCGAGTTTATGTCTGATATTCCGATCAGACACAGCCGACGCATGAGATCTTTGATGTTGCAAGCTAACAAGGCAAAAACGATGATGAACAAGTTGACCCTCCTCGCTAGTATCAGACCAGCTCATTTCGTACCTGATGTAAGTTATTTTTTTGTCTTGAAAAAAGTAATATAAAATGAAAAACAGGATGAGTCTGAGTCCTGTCACAAATTTTGTAAGCTTATTTTAACTTGAAAACTAATAAAAGAATTTTTAACTAACGTAGGTCCTGAAATTATTACTTTTTGAGATGCAGCCATTTTAGTTATATCATGAAGTTTGAATTATACATGAGACTATAAAATTGATGTCAGAAATAAAATGATTTAATTTTGTACTTGTGCTTTCACATATCAATATATAATCTTTAATTTGGAAATTAGACTTGAATTTTTTAGGTACAGTTTAATTTACACCGATCATTTGATACACATTATCTATCTATCATTTGACACATATTATCTAGTAACTTTTAATTAGATTATCTTGATATCAACTTGATATTGTGCCAAGTTAGTATATCTTCTTGATGCGTATTGTATCAGCTTGATACGCTATCGTTTACATGCATTGTCGATATCAAGATAATCTAATGGAAAGTTACGCATATCAAATAATCAGTGTAAACTAATCCTATGTAAAAGCTTTTTAGATATCTTCAACATTTAGACATCTGTATCTTTTATACTTTTTATATTTATGCCTATAGCTGCCAGCTGTAGCTGAGTTTTCAACTGGTGAAACTATGGGACACAGCGGAGATCGATTGGCGGCGGCTTTTGGCGTATCGCGCAAAGAACAAGACGACTACGCATTACGCTCTCATACTTTAGCCGCGCGAGCTCAACAAGAGGGAAATCTGTCGGATGTGATGCCTTTTAAAGGTCTTTTTAACTTTTTTAAATCCCTGTCTGATTTTTTAAATGTCTTTCAAATGTTCTTTTAAGTGCCTTCTTGTCCCTTTTTTATTTATTTACATGCTTAGTTTTAACCAATACATTTGTTTGCTCTGCGATTTTGTAGTACAAGGTGTCGATCAAGTTGTGGACAAAGATAACGGTATTCGCGTGTCTACGGAAGAGCAATTGGCAAAGTTGAAACCCGCATTCGTGAAACCGTACGGGACAGTCACCGCCGCTAACGCGTCTTTCTTGACCGACGGCGCCTCTGCGGCCCTGATAATGAGCGAGGAGAAGGCTCTCCAACTTGGTTTGAAACCCAAGGCGTATTTGCGAAACTTCACTTACGTGTCTCAAGATCCGGTTGATCAGTTACTTCTTGGTCCATCGTACGCAATACCGAAGGTATACAGTTTTTATTAGTTAACATGCCATTGATTGAATTAATATGTGAGATTTTGTTACTCGCGAAGTCGAGCTATGTAGGCATTGAGAGATTTCTATAAATTATATTGTAGATTCTGAACAAAGCGAAATTAGATGTAAAAAATATAGGAGTGTGGGAGATACACGAAGCGTTCGCCGGACAAATCTGCGCTAATTTGAAGGCGTTAGATTCAGATTTGTTTGCGCAAAAGTTTCTCAAGAAGAGCGAGAAGGTTGGTGTACCGGATCTGAATAAATGGAACGCATGGGGTGGGTCTTTGTCGCTCGGTCATCCGTTTGCCGCTACTGGAGTACGATTAGCGACACACACTGCTAATAGACTCATAAAGGAGGATCAGCAGTTCGGTCTTATTGCGGCCTGTGCTGCTGGTGGACAGGTAAAATTCAAGTTAAAAGTACATTATTTCGAATGAAAGTTACAAAGATTTACTATCAATTAGCTTCTATATACATTTTATTTTTTTAAATTTTGTAATATTTTTGTACTTAACAGGGAGTTGGCATGATCATGGAGAGATATCCTGGCGCAAAAGTGTGACTTTTAGAGGAATGCATGAAGTATTTCAAGATAAAATGAATTAAAGGCAAATAAAAAGGAAATCAGAGTTTTTTCCTTTACTAGAGAAAGACAAGAAAGAATAATATGTAAATAAACGTAAACGTTTAAAATAATTGTGAGTAATATAAAAGAAACTATTTTTTATTAAATTGTAATTTGCAATAAACATTACATTGTGTAGGATTATTCATAGAACTATAAGATACATTACTTCCCACACGTTGTATTTTCTACTCGAGTGAGTTTTGCAGAAAAGATGGAAGTAGGTTCGCAGTTAAATGTTGTCTCACAGCTTGATCCAGTATAATCTTTATGTCTCTACAACCTTGTAATGCTCGTTGTTTGAGCACTTCCAGACGTGATAAGTGTAACCTTTGACCTGCCCCATGTGCTACCACGATTAAACCATTCTCGTTTAATTCATCCTCATTATTCGTCCCCGGTAACGCGACGACAGACAGAGTAACTCCTGGTGAACATTCCTCTACAAAGTTCGCATCTAATACTCCTTCTGCTAATGTCTTGTCTTCTTCGTCTGTTGATGGTGTATTAATAAGAGTCGCAGTACAGCCTATAGCATAATTCTGTAATCAGATATTTATTAAGTTACCTAAAGTCTCTAGTTTTAATCATATAAAAATGTTCCCGATAACAACCTTGATTGGGATTCCAGCATCAATCAATGCGAGTGTTGCTGTATTTACAGACGCGCAATAATCACTACCGTCGGCTTGTAAAACCTCTACGAAGATGTCGATTTGAGAACGTGGGTATAATTCTAAATGTATTATGGCTTCCATCGCATGGCGTAATTGAACCGATCTCTCTTGCGATTTCCAGTCTCCTCTCGGTTTTCGTTTCCGTTCACCAGAGGTAAAACTGAATACAGCCGTGCTATACTGACAATTTACAAGAGCTTTTGCGATGTTCTTTGCTGTATTGCTTCTCGGCTAAATCAGATATTAAAAATACACAGATATTATAGTATACTTTAATACTTAAACATAAGATATTTAATATGAAAGATGTATTTGTTCTTAGAGCAGAGAACCAAATAATTAACATACTTCTCGAGTATTCACGAGTGATATATTTAAAAGTAATTTGTACCTGATGAGGACCATATACCGCGGCTAGAATTTTCGTGTTGCCATGCTCTATATACGCGCTGCCATCAGCTTGTCCGAATACTCCCATTCGTACACGGATTTGTCGTAATTCTAATGCTCGTCTACCATCCACACGCAAACCACCCTGGCTGTTTTCTTGACTTGGCTCAATCATATTTTTTAATTGACGACTTTACGTTTAAAAGCAGGTGTTACCTAACCCATGAATACAATGAGGTTATGTCACCGTTGTTTATAAATGTTATTGAGTAAAAAAACCAAATGTCTCGAGAGATGATTTAAACTTATAAGAATTTTTAAAAAATCGACCAAGAATGTGAGATGATACACACGCAAGTCTAGTAATAAATTATTAAAAAAAAAAACTGCAGATACTTGCTACTGAATGTCGGTAAGACTGGAGTCTGCTATTTAGCGCTATCGCATCATTCTATCCTTGTGTACATATAAAGAGTAATAAAGATAGAATGACGCAGTAGCGCTAAACAGCGTCTCCTCGATCCTACTTAACACTTTACCGACCGGCCGTCGATTAATCGACGTTTTGTTCTCAGCGCTTATCGACCGGCCGTCGATTATTCCACAGCGCTTAACGACCGGTCGTCGATTAATCGACTTTTGTTTTTTCCGTTAGATTTGGTTAAGTTAGACTGACAAGTAGCAAGCAGCAAGCCGGTGTCTCGGATGATCTGCGGCTGAGTGGCCGGTGAAAAGGGCATAGGATGTTCGAACCGCTACCGGTCGGTAAAGTGTTAATATCTCGTATGTGCCGATGCCGCTTTGGTTCTGATGTGTATCCGCGATAAACTGACCTTAGTTAACGACACTGGGCTCACGTATTGAGTATGAAGAGAGTAAAGATTGTGCCAGACAGGCCAAATAGGTTATTCGAGATTTGGTTAGAAGAATGGAGGAACGAAGCAGTGCTCCGAAAATCTGACCTACGGAATCACTTCGCGAAGGCATTGCACTCGTTGAGGAAGTATCCATTGCCATTGGAATCTGGTAGAGATTGTATAATTTTGCAGCATTTCGGCACAAAGTTATGCTCGATGCTGGAGAGAAAATTAGAGGAGCACAGGAAACAAGAGTCCGATAACGTGATTGATGTTGCCGCAGTCAGTAATGACGAAAAATACGCCATTATATCGGAAAAGACAAAGGAAGATCGGACAATCGGAAATGAAATACAAGAAAAAACAGTGATGGTTAGACAAGCTAAGAACATTAAGAAAAATATCTCGAAGGGATTAGTAAGTGCCAATGAAATAGCATCGAGGCAAGTTGACAGGCAGATTCATTTCGAACCCAATACTTTTGATATTATATTACTAGTGGATACTCAAGAAACTTGTGGGTGAGTACAGAATAGTTGATTTATATTCCAACTGCAAAAATTTCTTACAAAGAGAAATCATGATATGCAACTCATGAATTTTTTCCATTTTTTGTATTTATTGTTATTTATATAATCACTTGTATGATTTAATCACTTTGTATGATAACAAAATGCAAAGTGTTGCATATCTTCTTGAGTTTTTCTTGTTAATTATATAAAGTATGTTTCAGTGGAAAAGGAAAGTCTCAATATGATTCTACACTTATAGAACTAACACAACTTGATGTGATGTTTGAAGTGCGTTGTTTGAAAGTTGGTGATTTTGCATGGATTGCAAAGTGTAGAAAGACTAATGATGAATTGATTTTACCTTATATAGTTGAAAGAAAGCGAATGGATGATTTAAGTGCAAGTATTATAGATGGAAGGTTCTATGAACAAAAGGTATTTTATAGATATAATTCTATCTTTTTGCAAACTTTTCTTGACTCCATGTTTATATATAATATTATATATAGTATATATAGTATATTATATATACATTTTATATGTATTTATATACATAATCATGTTCTTATATTTTTATTTTATATTTTAGTTTCGACTGAAACAATCTGGTATTGAGAATCTTATATATATAGTAGAAAGTATGGATAAGAATGCCCGATTTTCTATACCACTTCCATCATTGTTGCAAGCTTCTGTGAATTGTTTAGTGCAAGATAACTTTACAGTGAAATATACAAGAAGTCATAAAGATTCTATGTCATATTTGTCATGTGCAACAAAAACTTTGATTAAAATCTATAAGGTATGTATAAAGAACAATATTTA